TTTTTTGTGAAAAAGAGTCTCACTATGTAGTTTAGGCTGACCTTGAACTTGTGGTATCCTCCTGCCTCCTCCTCCTAAGGGCTGGGAATCACAGGCATGTGCTACCATGCCTGGTAGTTATTCTGTTTTCTATTTTTGTGGCTTTGACTACTTTAGAAGCCATCAGTCCTTAACTACTAACTTACTTTGTATAGGTTTACTTATTCTGGATGTTTTATACATAGTGGTATCCCAAGCATGAAACCCTTTGTGTTTCCTTAAATGATCTTATAGCTATTCTTTCATGAAAAATTTTTGAATAAGAATATACATAAAGCTATGTAAGCAATAGTTAAAAAGTAACCTAGCATATGTGGAACTGTATAATATGTGTTTGTGTATCTTTATTTGTTAGTACAATGGTCTCAAAGTTCATCCACCTTGTAGCATGTGATAATGTTTCCTTCCAAGGTTAAATGCTATTTTCTTGTATGCATATAGGATATATATAAGGAAATATACTTTTTCTTTATCCATTATCTGTTGATGAATATCAGGATAGTTTCCACCTCTGGGTTATTATAAAGACCTGCTATGAATATATGTGTGCAAATATCTCTTTGAGACTCTGCCTTCAATTCTTTATTTTTGGAAACAGAGTGGTAATATTTATGACCCTCAAAGAGAGGGAACATTTATAAAATATTATTTTCATTGTCAATACTAGTATAATCCTGGAACATGGGAAGCATTTAGGATAATTATTGATTAATAAATGAGAAAACGTTTCACTTTATTAGAGACTTTTCTTCCATTTATTAGAGCTTAAATTAGCTTAAAAATTTTAACTGATACATATTCATGGGTGCTATGCAATGTCCTGATCCATCCCTACATTGTGTAACATTTAAATTAGGTTTGACATATCTACCTCATATTTATCACTTCTTTTTGGTAAGAATATTAAAAATCCTTTCTTTCAGCTTTAAAAAATACTTTCTTTTAAAAAAATGTATTTGGTTGTTATAGGGTCTCACTACATAGCTCTGACTTGTGGTAATCCTCCTGCTTTCAGCCTCCCCAGTGCTGGGATTACAGGCTTGCACCACAAAACCTGGACTCTGGCTAGCTCAGCCAGCCCCCGGGGTGGGGGTGGCACAGCATGTGGTGCTGGGGTCAAACTGCGGTCTCTGCACTTGCCTAAGCAGGCGCTTTAGTCCACTGAGCTATCTTGCCAGCCCCTAAAAAATACATTCTTATTACTTATCATCACCTTACTCTGTAAGAGAATGATCACTGAAATATACTTAGAATTAGGATTAGTAATACTGTTTTTTAAGTTTTTGAGTAACTGCCACACTATTTTTCATCAGTGTCATTTCCACTAATGTTGGTAGAACCTAACTACACGATAGTATCTCTTTTTCATAGACTTTTGAAAAGTTGACCTCAAATTGGTTTCTAATTTGTTTTTTTTCCCACCCAAAGGAATGCACATAATTTGGAAGTTCCTCTTTTTTTTAGCTCACAAGTTTGCTCCTGAGGCTGCTTTGTCAGTCACTGTGTTCCATACTCACCCGAACATTCAAGGAGGGGCCCACAGTGTCAGTGATGTTGATGGAGAACTGCACCAGGCCATTCTCATCTGTGGTCGCGTTGAAGTGGTAGTTAGCTTCAGAGGCTGTGATAGTGACGGCTTTATGTGGCATAGGGACACCCTTGCCATCCACTAGGCGCACCTGGAGATTAAAAGCTGTGGATCAGCTCTATGGATAATAACGAAGAGGCACCAAGCATTCATTTCATTACAAGTATTATTTGAGAGTCTCCTCTCTGTTGTACACAGTTCCAGACATTGAAGACAGCAGAGACGAGAAAAGGATTTTTGTGTCACAGAGCTTATAGCCTGGTGTAAGAGATAGGTGCTAAACAAATATATACATACTGTAGTTATTTAGTAGTAATCCTAAGGAAAAAAAGAAAATATTGCGCATGGATAGAGTAGAAGGGTGACCTATTGTAACAATGATATCTAGTCTATATTGTAAAACTGGTGATTTTTTTCATTAAGAATTACTTTTTTTTCCCATTTATGTATTTGTTACAGGGTTTCACTATGCAGATCGGACTTGAAGTGATTCTCCTGTTTTCAGCCTCCCCTGTGCTGGGATTACAGGTGTGTGCCACCATGTCCAGACTCTGTCACCGGCTCAGCGTGCCCCAGGGGTGGGGCCAGCATGCCATGCTAGATGGGGAATTGAAGCCCTGTCCCTGCGCTTGCCAAAGCAGGTGCTTAGTCCACTGAGCTGTCTCACTGGCCCAAGGACTACTTTTTGTTTTTGTTTTTTTTTCTCCATAATTTTATTGTAAAACAAATAGCAATGAGACAGTTTCAAATCAAATTACTAGGACAGTTTCAATAATTAACACATTGCATACATTCTTCCTAGTGGTTAACTGCTGTACAAGATGTGGACATGATATACTATTTACAAACACCATTAGAACAAATCACTCTATTCATTAAGAGAATGTAACTATATATCTATCCCAACCACTTTGAATACACAGATACAAAACGGACATTCATCTGTATCCCCTTTTTTGGTTAAGTTCTGTTATTTGAATATTATAGGTGTGTAAACTCAGCAAAATATTCTAAAAGAGTCCAGTAGCCCATAATAGTATTGGGTCTTCCGCTTGACTGGCAATGTCAGAAATTGTTGACCTGAGTCCCCTACAGCTCAACATAACAGCATGGCTTTACTTCTTATACTTCATTTTTATACTTTTCTGCTGGATGGTTAAGACCAAGGTAAAGCAGGATCTATGCGACAAGAGTTGTAGCTTTTGGGTCTGTAAGGCCAGTGAAATCCCCTCAGGATTTATCCTGAGATCCTGTACCTCAGATTGTAGAACCTTTGTTAGTGTCAGCCATGTGAAGCACTATTTTTTGAAGTTAAAAAGAATTTTCACCTACACAGAGTGTGATATTTCAATACGTGTATAATACACAATGAACAGATTGGGACAACCAGCACAGTTATCATTTCTTTGTTTTGGGAACTGGATCAGTACTGATAAATGATCTACAAAATCCAAATTTGTCAATGAAGTATTTAGCCAAAGTTCAAAGACAAAGATAAGCATAAAATTCTGATTCTTTGTCATTTAGTAAGTCTTATGACAAGAGTTATAGTTATTTAACAGCAACAAATTATAAACAAGTATGTCTCTGAGAAACTAAAAAGTGTGCTACATTTTTATTTTGAGAAATGGCCAACATTACTGAACATCATTAAACTTTCTAGAATATACTCCATTTTGTTCAGTACAGTCTTTATTATTTTTATTTTTTTGTGGCCCTGGGAATTGAACCCTGGCATTCTCAGACACTCCTTACTCTCAGTTCTGTTTTTTTATTTTGAAACAGGGTCTAGGTAAATCACTAAGTTGTGCAGGCTGGGTTTGAACCTGCAAGCCTGCCTCAGTCTCCCAGAATACTGGTATCACATGTGGCTCCCATACCCTGATTCTTTAAAGCCTCCTTAGCTGAAACCCTATTTAGAATGTGACAGGCAGTCGCTATACACTGAGCCGTACACAGCTGATCTCAGACTTCTGGAGTCAGAAAGTTTCCTTTGCCCTTTTGCTTACAATAGAAAAGTGACAATAGGAGATTTGTTTGTGTGGATCGGTGGTAAAAATCATAAATCTAAAATTTAGAAACCTAAAGTGGGATTTTTTTTCCCTAGAGATGCACTTTTCCAAAATACAGAAATTAATGTAAACATACCTATCAAAGAAATAGGCACAATAGAGTCTTTAATACTTAAAACTTACAACTGCCTATCCAGTCATTGTTATACAAAGTTAGTATTAAAAGTATGTTGTAACCGGTTACCATGAATTTTTGAGATTCTTGAGAGAAAGTGTAATAAAAACCAGCTGTATATATAGCATAGATACAAAGAAAGAACAAGATAGAAGAGAGATAAATAGCAAGTAGGGAGAAGTTCAAATACTTCCTCAAATTATGCATTCTGTTTTTTTTTTTTTTTGTGTGGGGGTGTGTGTGGGTGTGTGCGCGCGCAGGGTCTCACTATAAAGCTCAGACTTGCAGTGATCCTCCTGATTTCTGCCTCCCTAGTGCTGGTATTACAGGTCTGTGCTGCCACGCCCAGACTCCATCACTGGCTCAGCGTGCCCAGGGCGGCTGGGGCTGGCACTGAATGCGGTGCCAGGGATTGAACCCTGGCACCTGAGCTTGCCTACCCAAGCGCTTAGTCCCCTGAGCTATCTTGCTGGTCATTCACGTTCTGTTGTTTTAAAAATATTTCCATATATATGCTAATTTGTTTCATTTATACTAGTAGTTTACCTTAGTTCACTGAAAAGAAAGTTTGTGTTATTATGTTTCTTTTTTGTAAGAATCTTTTTGGTTTATGTCTTTTTTTTTTTTTTTTTGGTTTCTGGTGGTACTGGGGACTGAACTCAGGACCTTGTGCAATATATACAAATACTATTACATGAAGATAAGAGTAGAAAATTATTGCTATTCTCTTTTTAGTTGGTTATGAAAAAAAATTTTTTTTTTACAAAAAAAATTTGGTTTTTTTTTCTTTTGTATTTTAGGGAAGGGTCTACAGGGTGTTCAGGGGCTTACTACTAGATCAGACTCATAGTGTTTACAGCCTCTCAAGTGCTGGGATCACAGGCGCGTGCCACCACACCCAGTCTCAATTGCCATCTCAGCACGCCCAGGGAGTGGAGCTGCCACGGCAGGCCCAGGGATCGAACCCCAACCCTTGTGCCTGCTTGCAGGTGCTTTAATCCGCTGAGCTACTTGGCTGGCCCTTATGTTTTATTTTTTTCATAAAACATTAGAGACTGCCTGACGGTAAACATGGAAAGGAGACTGAAGGATATCAATAACACAATGTTGTTGAAAAGTAAAAAAGGAAAAATCCTCCTGATTTTGATAGGACTGTAGAAGGATTTCACATACAGATTTAAAGTGAGTAGATCTATTTTTACGGGTTTTGCTGCTTTAGTTATATTTTCTGTCTCTTTTATATTAATGACTAATATTGCCTGGGCATAATTTTAGCAGAAACTGTGCCTGCAGGTGTGAAGTAGGTAAGTCTGGGTTTTTACCACGGTCAGATGCTCACCTGCCCAAAGAAGGGGATCCCTGCTCTAATGTGCGAGTCCACGTTCACGAAGGAGAGCTTGCTGATGGTGGTCGTGATTTCACTGGATCCCGTCCCCTTCAACTGAACACCTGCAAAAGACGCAGCAGAAGGAAAAGAATGGTTCATTTTGGGAAGAGCGACGTTCGGCTAAGGAAATACATTAGTATCCACTGTTCCTTCTACCGTATTCTGTGGGACACAAACCTGTTCCTTCTTCTTGGATCTGGGCCTCCGCTCGGAGCTGCATTTCGTACTCTTTCCTCCTTAGCTGGAAGTCACTGGTTTTCACTTTCTGTGAGAAGCAGCCTTGGCTGTTTAGCTAAGGGGATCGTAAAGCATAGACACAGGATACAAGTTGTATTGAGTAGATTTGCATTCAATCAGTGTGTGATTAATTAACAGATATCTTTTGGGGACAACATAATTTAGGCATTTTCTATAGTGAGGACACAGAATATAATGTGCAGAGACAAAGATCATTACTTGGCACAACCCTAAGATTTTAGCGTCCGAAATGCCCTGGAGAGAATGGGACGGAAATTCTGTGTTTTAAGTGATTTTACTGTAGCAGGCAGCTAACTCTTCATCAAAGGTTGGGTCCCCTTCCCACTTATCTTTTTATTTTTTAAAGAATACAAAATAATAGAAAATTATTTTAAATAGTAGTAGAAAAACAGCATTAGAAATGATACGGAATTTCTCTAAACAAAGTAATAGGAATTCAACAATGGTTGCTGTACTGCATGATGTTATCTTCACTTTAGTTGTTCAGGTTACCACATATAAACGTGTAAGACGGGTTTGAAGAAAAAGCAAAAGAAAATAAAAAAGCTGGCCGAGGCTGGACGCGGCCTGCCCATCCGAGGACTTCGTTCCCTCTCTGGCCTCTAGATGGAGCCATGGGAAAGGTGCTTGGTCATTGAGCGGATTGATGCTCTTCCCAGCTAAGGCAATTTTTTAAAAATTCAAATTTTTCCTTTTTTTATTGTAGAAGTAGATACCCACAGTGGCTTTGGGTGCCTCAGTTTCTGTTCTTATGGAGCATCAACAGTGAGAAATTCGAAGAAATAAATAATTCCTATTGTGGTACGCCACTGTTTTAAAAATCACTAAAGCAAGGGTGGAATTCTTTCCCAGATCACCCCCTTCCTGACTTGGCACGCGGCACACCCCCCCGCTGGGGCAACACTGCCTTTATTTCAGTACCTGGAAGGTCAAGTTCTCAACCTACCTGTTGCCTGAAGTTCTTACAGAAAGCCTGAGACTCCTGGCCATAGCAGCGGGAAGGATTATTATAATTTCTGCAAATGCTCAGAGTCATGTTTCCTGGGACAGGCTTTCCATACGTGTATCTGTCAGGAGAACATTGCCAAGTGAATCAAAACAGACAGAGAACAACTCCACTGTATTTACGCCTATCTCCACTTCCCTTTTGGCGACTGCGTATTTACTCTTCGTACTTTGCTCTGATTCCTGTAGGACCTGCCTGATGTTAGGGGCAAGCAAACTGAACAGTGACTTTCCTTTAGCAAATCTCCAGTGCACCATTCTACCATGTATTATATTCTTCTCTTTTCATATCTCTTTCCCTTGAATTTTCATTCTGATATCATTTCAATTGTGCCTTTTTATTACAAAAGCTATTTTTAAAAAGAAAATTCAACACCAATAAAATAAACATAATAAAAGGCAAATAGGATCTTTTTGTGATCTTGTATCCAAACTAGTAATGTGATGGTGTTTTCTTGATATAACTATCTCTTTATATTTTATTCACATTTTATAAAATTAGGATTGTGTAATAAATATGTCATGGATGATTGTGTTTTCAGGGCATTTGTTCCTTTGTTTCCTCTATATTTTGATTTTGAGAGCCCCAGTTTACTAGTTATGTAGGACTGGGTAGTTGGTGGCCACTATTCTGAAACAGCACTTGGTAAGAGCCTGGAAAGTAGCAGGTGCATTGCATACATGGTGTTTAGGAAGGACAGTTTTTTTTTTTTTTTTTTTTTTTTTTTACCGGGGATTGAACTCAGGCCCTTGCACTTGCCAGGGAAGCACTTATTATTTTTTTTTTTTTTTTTTTTTTTGTTTGGTTTTGCTTTGCCTACTCTTACTGCTGGGGTTACTCTGGGACTCCAGGGATGGGGTCCAAGATGCTGGAAGCATGAGTTATTGAGTGAAGTCATGCTCAGTCTCCTGGGTAAAAATAGCATGCCCAAAGCATGTGACACGCTTGAAGTAGACTGATGAGTTAGGGGGAATTTGGGCTCATACCTGTCTCTAAAGGTTTATGAATCTAGGCACCTGTGGCTTCAAGATAAGGTAAATAACCTGTTGATTGAATTGCCTCTGTAATCAATGTCAATTATCTCATTAGTATGTGTTTTGTTATTTCTAGTTAAGAGAAAGCCATTGTTCTTTAGCCCAATTTATACTGTGTGTGTGTGTGTGTGTGTGTGTGTGTGTGTGTGTCCCTTTCAGAGTTAATCTTAGTCTTAGCAGCACAGCCTCTCTAAAAATAATTCTTTATCCCTTCATAGATGTAATAATGCAGATACATACATGAAATAAAATAAGAAACAGAAAAGCAACAGAATATTCTAGAGATGGGAATTCTCCCAAAGTACTTAAAAGTATTTATGTTGCCAAAATGCTTTGAATTGGAGCCTCCTTTAAATACTTCCCCATGAAAGACTAATGAAGATAAAAACTGGGAAAAAAGGAAAAAGTCAACTTACCGGCCACACACTGACACAGTAAACTCTTGTTCCGTGATGGTTATCTTCCGTGGCATGGACACTTGTACCTCAAATTTGGGGAGAACTGTTGATTGGTGATAAAGAATTGGAGATTGGTGACTGTTTCTCAGCTTTTGGGACATTAATATTGTCCAGTTCTCTAGGAATATTTAAGGTCTTTGAAAGGGTCCTCTATTGTTAATTGTATCTGTGTGCTCCTTGCTTTCCAAATAGAGAGTTTGGTTGGAGGCTATGACTGATCACTGATAAATAATGCAACAGTCACTATTGTACTATGAATAACCACTACAAGGACAACAATATGCAATGTATTAACGGTTGAAACTGTCCTATTAATCGCTTTTGAAATTGTCTCATTGCTATTTGTTTCTCAATAAAATTAATAAAAAAGAAACAGTCACTAAAAATCATGTTTTATGTATTTTTTATGCTAAATATCACCAACAAAATAACCAAGTTATAAAAAGTTTTATTTGCAAATCATTGATGTCCTCACTGGTGACAAGTCTAATTAGTTTTACTCTAACTACAACCTTACCCATGGAAAATGGAAAAACTGCAAATCAACTCAAGTTCTAGATTCTAGAAGTTCAAGTATGAAGAAAAATGTTCTGTGACTTTCCATGAGCCATACCAAATTCCTCCACAGTGAAGGGGTGCTCTATTCTTTTCCCGGAGTCCTTCAGTACCACCATCAGGTAGCGGCCCAGCAGGGGCTCTGATGAGAGGGGAAATTGGAGTTGTGTGAGGCCGCGCTCCAACTTGAGGTTCTGCCATTGCATGATGCGGTTTCCTTTGGAGTCCTAAGGATAAATTAATGGTAATTCACAAAAATGAAAAGACCATCACAGAGAAAATAAAAGAAAGCTTGTGGAAACTCCCAGTTATCTATAAGGAGAACAAATGGGGTGGTGAGGGGGAACCATGCAGCTCCGTGGGAGTTTGGAGCCTTGCTCCTCACTGACATGCTTCTGGGGCAACCTAAGTACTTCCCAAATAAGAATATCTGCCCAAAATTGTTGCTTTCTTTTTAACTATGAGATATTTCATATTGCTTACCTGAATGAATATTAATGGAAGCTGAAAGAAGAAAAGAAAAGGAGTTTATACTTGTTCTCAGATAATTCCAACTCTGACCATATGGAACACTTCTCTATATGAAGAATAACAATGAAACATTTCAGGTTAAACCTTACAGAACTTGGGGTTAGTCCATTTTACGATGTTGAGAAGTTATTGGTCCATCAACAATAAATATATATGTATGCTGCTATGAGAAAAGAGATTTACTGACAATATGTAAGAATTAATACTGTAATTCTGAGTGAGGAATATTCCTTAAAATTGAGAAATAAACACTTATAAAACTAGAAGTAATTATGCTAGGATCCAATTATAAATTTGGGTCACAGACTACTTACCTAGTTCTAAAAATGAGTACAAGTAAGTGTGGCTCCTCAAAATTAATATTCATTGCAAACTGTTCATTCTAAATGCTGAAAATATAGTAATACGCAAAAGAACACTAGGTCTGTTCTCGTGGAGCTTATTTTCCAATAGGGATGGCCAGAAAAGAAAAAGATCAATTTATCTATCTATGTATCTATCTATCTACCTCTCTTACTCTCTACTCTCCACCTATCTATCTTAGGGTGGTAATATTTAGTGGATTTGGTTGTTACAGGGTCTCACTATGCAGCTTGGATTCATAGTGATCCTCCTATTTTGAGCCTCCCCAGCACTGGGATTATAGGCCTGTGCCACCACACCTGGACTCAAGTCGCTGGCTCATCCCACCCTGGGGGCAGGGCTGGTACTGCATGTCCCATGGGGGATCCAACCTAAGTCATTGTGTTTGCCTAAGCAGGCGCTTTAGTCTGCTGACCTATCTTGCCAGCTCCAAGCCCATTTATATAAATAAGACTAATTTTATATAAAGGAAAGGAAACTCACCAACTCATTCAGAGGGTGAAAGTTTTCATCCAATGAGACAACACGAGCTTTTACTGAAAAGAAAACATTTCCCATGAGACCACCAAACTCTTATGTTTTTAAATGTATTTGGTACCGCGTCTCACTATCACAGCTGACTCACAGTGATCCTGTTTTCAGCCTCTTCAGTGCTGGGATTACAGGCATGTGCCACCACACCCAGTTTCGGTGGCCAGCTCAGTGGGCCCAGGAGCAGGGCTGGCATTGCATGTGGTGCAGAGGATTGAACTCCAGTCCCTGTGTTTGCCTAAGCAGGTGCTTAGTCCATTGAGCTATTTTGCCGGCCCTGAGACCACCAATCTCTTAACTAGGCCGATAGTTTGGTAAGACAAACTATTAGAAAACTGTGATTATAGGACTTTGATACTCAAGAAAGGAAGGCTTTATTTTCAGTGTTTTTACTGTAGACCTGGTCATACCTGTCTGCCCTGGTTTGTAGATGGGTTTGTCTGTCTGGACAAAAACCAGACTCTCTTCGTTTTTAACCAACACTGTCCTCCGGCTTCTGAATTCATGAGTTGGTCCTTTCACTTCAATAGTGAGGAACATAGTCTGCTCAGGGGATGAAGATGGAGGCACCTGAAATAAAGAAGTGATGCTCAGAACCCGACTGGCCTTCAGTTCTGCTCCCCATGCCATGCCGCCTTCCTCTCTTGAGATGGAGCCTTTTAAACCAATCTCACTTCTTCATTCTTAGTTGGGAAAGTTGGGACGAACAGCAATCACTTCTGCTCTTTTATCAGAGGGAAGATAATGCAAGGAGGAGAAAATACACTAGGAATAGAGGTGATCATTGAGAACTACATCTTCACTTACATAGCTCAGACAATACAGTCTAGATTCATTTACAGTGTGAGCTTTGCCAGATTGATGTCATGTGATAAAAGGGTGTGGTAGAAACACTTGTTACGCTTATGAAAAAATTGTCTTTTTGGCACTAGGCTGCAAGTATCCTCTATGCACACAGCTCTAAAAAGAAACTGGACATCTGCCCAGGATGAGAAATATTGTGACAGAGTCCACCACTTATGACTTATGTTGAGCCTTGAC